GCAGGGGCATGGCAGGCTCTGCTTGAAACAACCTGCGTTATGCAGGTGACACAGTTTTGCTTGCTGAAACTGAAGAAGAACTGATGCATTTGCTGCAGAGGGTCAAGGACTGTAGTGTGCAATATAGATTGCAGCTCAACATCAAGAAGACAAAGATTCTCACCACTGGGCCAACTGGCAGCATCATGATAAAAGGAGAAGAGATTAAGATGGTTAACAATTTCAGCTTGCCCAGCTCCACAATCAATACTCTTGGTATCAGCAGTCAGGAAATCAGGATGAACTCAATTGGGAAAATCTGCTGTCATGGATCTCTCCAGAGTGCTGAAGAGCAAAGATGTCAATCTAGAGAGTAAGGTGCACCTAATTTTTACAATTATTGCTATGCATCAGAGAGCAGGACAATGATGCCTTTGAGTTGTGGTGCTGGAGAGGAGTCTTGAACATACCATGGATGGCCAATAGAACAAAAAGGTCTTTCTTATAGAAGGTGAAACAAAACTGCTGCTTGGAGGCAAGGATTTTGAGGCTCCGTCTCACATACTTTGGGCATGTGGCCAAGAAGGACAAGTCCTTGGAGAAGGATATCATGCTTGGAAGAGTGGAGGGACACAGCACAGGAGAGGAAGACCACAGATGAGGTGGATTGAATAAGGTTATGAGGATAGGTGTGTTGGAGAAAGTGAGACTGGCTCAGGTTAGAGCAGAGTTCAGAGATATTGTGCATACGAGTCGCTATGAGTGTATATGGGTTGTCAACTGGATGGAACATACCAACAACGACAGACTCACAGTTGTAAATTAATCAGCATGGCTGTTGTGTGGACAGCACTTGGTGGGAGAATCTGGAGGATGGGAGACAATTAAGTGAATGCTTACATGCTGCAGGCAAAACATTAGACCTGAACAAAAGCAGCAGTTGTTTCTGCTACCAAGAATCAGCCCTCCATCTCTGTGGTAGTTGTTACCTTCCTGAAGCTCCAGACATGCGCAGAAAAGGTAGAGTGCCAGGCTCACAGAATCTTAGCTGCTCTACGGACCTCTGATGTCTTTGGCATCTCTAACTGAGAGGTCAAGTGGGCCTGGCTTCTCCCTTCTCCCCCAGCTTGTGAGGCAGAGCACCCTGCCATGAGCACTCATGTTCCTGAACATATATGAGCTCTTTGGCATCTTGGGATAAAGGATTGGATCCTCACCAATATTCTGCGAGATCTCACCAGTATCTGGACTGCACTGACCCAACATGGAGGGTCGGGGAGGGGAAGACACTTGTTCATTCAAAGCAATGTCTTCAGAGCCTCTGAGTGGTTCTAATATCTTTTTTTCAAACCCTAGGGCAAAGACAGGCATAAAAGAAGGGCCCAGGCCCTCTCCCCTCTAAATGAGGACACTTCTAACACCCCTACTTATGAGCAAGAGTATTGCCTTTGACATTTCCAACCTCAGCAGCAATAATGTTTCCCTGACCCTCCTCAGGACAGGCAAAAGCCTTTGTCATCTCCTCTCCTAACACTCCCTGCTTCCTTTTTCATAGCACTCATTACTTGTAAAATTACAAGTGTAATTTCTGCCTTCCTCAATAGGCTGCTAGCTTTCTGACAGAAAGGGCTGCACCTGCCTGCTCCTATTGTTTCCTTGGTGCTTAGAACAGCCTGGCTTATAACAGGCACTCTAAAGAGCATTTGTGAAGACAGGTAATGAGAACCAATAGGACTTCCTGAGGGAGAAGAATCTGTGGAAGGAGACTTGCAGATTTTGGAGGGCTGAGGGAGCCAAGTCACAGGGCCAGGCAGTAACAAGCACACATCCTGCTCCAGCCTTTCCCATTCACAAGCCTGTGCTGAAACAGACTGCTATTTCCCACTGCCTAATTCATGGACAATTCCCTCGTCATCAAGTGGATTCAAACTCACAGCCACCTTGCAGGACAAAGAACTGCTCCATAGGGTTTCTACAATGGTAAATCTTCATGGAAATAGACTGCCTCATCTTTCTCTCTTGAAACAGCTGGTGAGTTTGAACTGTCAAGCATCTGATTACCAGTTACATGCCTTAACTACAGTGCCACAAGAACCACTTATGTCAGAGAACAATGGTCTCCATGATTCTAGAAGATTCTGGAAGATAAAGTGCTCTGTCGTTAAATATGCTTAAGAAACTGAGTTAAACCAAATGAAATAGGTTCTTTCCAGAGCCTAAATAATGCTAACGATGGGAGCTCTGGTGGCCTAGTGGCAAGAAGCTGCACTGAAACCCCAGAGGCGTGCAGTTTGAATCCACTAGATGCTCTGCTGGAGAAGGAGGGACAATCTCCTCCTGTACCAGTCGGATCCAATTTGATGGTACACACACAAAAAATAATAAAATGTAAAAAAATAATGCTCACAAGCCTTTGGGTGGCACGAATGGTTAAGCACTGGATTGCCAACTGAAATGACAGTGACTCAATTTCACCCAGAGGAACTTCAGAAGAAAGGTTTGGTGACTTATACAATGTCACAGCCTTGAAAACCCCATGACATAGTTCTCCTCTGCCCTTTGGGGGGTCACTGTGAGACAGAATCCACTGGATGGCCAACTTTTCTTTTTAAATACTAATATGCATCATGGGTAACTCTAATCCGTGGCCCTCAGGCCTGTTTGTAATTGTTTTTGGTCAAACATTCTTCTAGGTCGCAGAGCTCTGGTGTGTCCACTTGCTGTGTACAGAGGTAACTTGTGGTTGCTGTGAAGCTAAACACTGTGACACTGAGGCATCAAATGCAATAATGGTTACCCACGGTGGACAGTGTTTGGTGGAACTCCTCAATTAAAAGAAGCTTGGAAGCAGGATGCAAGTGTTGAGGACTTTCTATCATAGTGTCACTATGAGTCATCTACGACTCAATGGCACTTAACAATAATATTAGAAGGCTATCAGTTTAAAGATTTGTGTGAACCTGATCCAAGCCATGATATTTTCAAGTACTTCCTACACATCTGAAAGCTGGACGATAAAAATGACTGAAGAATCAATGCCTTTTGAACTGTGATGTTAGAGAAAAGTACTGAATATTCTTATACTGCCGAAAGAACAAACAAATCCGTCGCAGAGGAAGTGCATCCAGGATGCTCCTTAGAGGCATAGACGGTGACGCTTCATCTCACATGCACTGGGAACGCGGTCACGAGGGGCCAGTCCTTGGAAACAGACATCGCGCTGGGAAAGGCGGAGGGCCAGAGAAAGACAGGAAGAATCTTAGCAAGATGGATTGATACAGGGATTGCCGCAATGGCTCAGCCTATTAGAAATGGGGAGATGGCTCAGGACAGGGCAGAGACTAGATCTGTGGATGAAAGTTGCTCTGAGTCGTAGGTGACTGGACGGCACCTAACGACAATACATACTGTGTTTTTCAGAAGTCACATGCAGTGTTCCTTTACATGGAATCCTTTCTGTAAAACAGTTTTAAAATTCTACACCACCCCCTAACTACTATGATGATTATTTATCAAACATAGCACAGCATCGGTGTTCCCCCACCCCATTTTTGGGCAAGGGTGGAAGTCTCCCTTAATAACCCCCTCAAAAATATTCCACGGCCCAACAGACAAAAGGAACAACAGTAAAACTGTTTGGTTAAAGGTGGGCCTTGAGAGCCCACCTGGCCATCTGTCACTGCCAACACCTGAGGAACCCTGGTGGCCCGATGAGTTCAGTTTGAAAAGTACCAGTGCAGAGGAATGAGCATGAGGTTGAAATGAGGACATCTGGCTTCCAGTGCTTGCTCTGCCACTAACTGCTGAACTCTGGGCGAGTCATTTACCCTTCCTGGGCCTCAGTTTTCCCATTATACAGAATCTGTTAACCTGGATGAACTCTAAGCTTCAGCCTTGACCCGATGAAGGCTGTCGAATGCAAACTCTGGGATACGCTGGTCCCAAGCCTCTGCGGTTTACTGGTCTCTGTCTGTGGGGCTGCCAGTACCCAGCGTGACTGGTGTAGCACACCGGAGCCTAGGCTGTGAAATGCGGAATTCATTACTGGCACTGCACAGCCCAGGAGTGCCTGGCTCCCTGGGGAGGGCATGCCCTGCGCAGGATGGAAGGGGTGGGTTGGGGAAGGGTGGGTGGACCGGCATCAGCAGCCACTCAGTGGGCAGAATAGGGAGAAGGACCCAGGTCTCCTGACTCCTGCTCTATCTTTAGATCTCCATAGCAACCGTCGTCAGGGTGCAGGAGCTGAAGGTGCAGGCTGAGCTGGCTGCCTAAAGCAGGAGGGAGGGCTATTTTCCTCCTGTGTCTCTTTTGCTGGGAAAGGACTGTGGGCTGGGCTCTTGAGCCAGGAATAGGAGACTCAAAGAAAAGGCATCTGCAGCAGGAAAGGCTTGGGACCAAAACAAAATAGAGGTAACAGAGGGTCCTACTTTACACTGAGAATGTGGTCAGGCCACAGAAGCCAAGACTTTATTTATAGGGTGTCGGGCCCTAGAGGTACATAAGGCAAGTTCTTCGTCCAAAGAGCTCTTAGCCTCTTCTGTGGCTGCTCCCTGAATACTTAGTGGCATCTACTCTGTGCCAACACTGAGGCTATAGCAGGGATGCGGTCTCCAGGGAAAGCTGTAATTAAATGGCAGGATCCCACAGGAACATTTAACCAGTCTTCTCATCTGAGGGACCCAGGAAACCCTACCCACCTCCTCCTGTCACTTTCCTACTCATCCTTAAGGTTCAATACAGCTGTTGCTTCCTGAGAAGTCCTTCCTGACATCCAGGCTGGTTCACTCTCCTCAGAGCTCTGATAACTCGTACTCCTCCTTCCACAAGCTGGATGCCAAGAGGGATCAATAACCTCTCGGAGTAGATGAGAGATGGAGGTCTGCAGTGAAAGACAAAGGCATTCACCTGAGGTCACGATCTATCTAGTTCATGGCAGAGCTATGCCTGGGCTCTGTGTCTTTGGATTCCAGCCATGCTCCCTCCTAGGTCCCGACAGCAGGCTCCCGGGAGAGAGGCCAGGGCTAGAAGAGAAAGTAGGAGTCTTTGGCCAGGCCAGCACTCAACAAGCACCTGGCCATGTCTCTGGTGAACTCAGTGGATCCACAGACCAAGGCAAAAGGCTTCCTGCGACAGGAGCCAATCAGCTCTGCTATCAGGTCCCCGGCCAGGCGGCCCAAGTGCGTCTTCTCTCGGTAACTCCAGGGGAGCTGCTCCAGGGAGTCCTCCTGGAAGACAAGCAACAATGAGTGACTTCTGGGAGAGCCTCAGTGTTCACACAGCCAAGCTTCTTGGATAAGAAGGAAACTAAGCCGCTCTGCTGTACCTGAGGCATTGGGGCAAAGAGAAAGTGGCTATTTCTACACTCAGTGTTCAACCCGTGAGCACTCAGAATGGTTTCTAGCCTGACAATCCGGGGGGGGGGCAGGTAGGAAGACTGACAGCTTTGGGTTTCCGAGGAAATTGAAAAAATTATGTATGTGAACTTCTGTCCACTGGTGAGCCTTCCTTGAGGACATAAATTGTGGCTCAGTGCTCAAGATCTTGAGAGCTGGTGGTGAAGGACTGCCCTGGAACTGGAATTAGATCTCTAAGTATAAAGTCCCTTTTAGTTCCTTTAAAAGAAAATTTTAAATTTAGACTTTAAAATTTAAAAAAAAAAAGAAGGAAACTAAGGAAGAGAGGGTGCGAAACAAACTTCACCAAGCCATGGTACTACCGTGGTCCTACCAGGTACTTCTTGTGTGAACTCTTACCATCCTTTTAACAAGATTATGAGCAGATTACAGGAATCTCTGGTGATTAATTTTATAAAACAAAAATCCATGGTGATGCTATGGTAAAAGCACTTTGTCATGAACCAAAGGGTGAGTGTTTCAAACCCACAAGCCTCTCCAAGGGAGAAAAATGGCATCATCTGCTTCTATAAAGATCACAGCCCTAGAGACGTATGCGGCAGTTCTGCTCTGTCCGACCTTTTGGAACTGACCCTTCACCACCAGGCTTGGTACGGTGACCCAGGGAACCCAGTGACGTAGGGCTGTGGGCTCTCACCACGGCTCACTGCCTTCTAGTGCTCACTGCACCTTAGGGAAACACCTTCACCCCATGCCTGAGGGTCTCTCAGAATAGTTCCAAGGCTGTTCATCACCATCACTCTCAGAACACGCAATTTTTGCCTCTGTCAAGGTCAACTCACTTGAATCTGCTGAATGTTCACCCCGCCTGTGCCGAACAGCACTTCACCAATGGAGAGCCAGCAACTTCTCTGAAAAGACGTGGTTCCTGGCCTCGTGGAGCTGCCATCTCCCACGTGGGAGACAGGACTAAACAGAGAATCTCTGGGGAGCAGCTGGCTGGGTGTAACAGAGAGGCCAGGCAGCAGAGGGTTCATCTCTCAGCACAGAAGGCCTAATGATGCTGTATTTACATTTTCACAGCAATAAAAATTAACAAGAAAATAAATTTTGAAACAAAAACCATTTTTAACACCTAGAGGGAGTATTCCAAGGAAGTCCTGGGCTTTGGAAAGCTCAAAGGGACCCAGGCTCCTTTCCTGCCCTCCCTTCCAGCCTTGACTGTGGCTTCCATCCTTGGCACCACAAAGTGCAAGCTCCAGCTCTGACTTGGAGATGTTTCTTCTATTTTTTAAATATGTTTAAGATACACATAGAAAAGTGCACAAATAATCAAGGATTTTGAAGTTTTTTTTTAAAAGGGAGGCCATTCAGAAACCCAGTGTCCAAAAACAGAACACGACTGTTGACACTGCAGACCCTCTTAAAGTCAACGAGTCCTGGCTGGTTCACATGCTGGCTGCTAAGTGAAAAGGCTGGAGGTCTGAGTCTCCCCAGAAAAACCTGACAATGAGCTCAGACAAAGAAGCCGAAGGAGAGCCTATGGACGCTGTACTCTGACACACGAGCAGTTGCTGACCTGACAGCCACAGGCTGTTTCTAGTTCCTTGGGCTTAACAGAGACACAGGATGGAGACAAATGGGGGTAGAATCCTAGCCGCCAAGTTGATTTTGACCCGTGGCAATCCTGCACGCACAGGGTAGAACTGTGCCTTGGTGGTAAAAGCAGGCTAAGAGTTGTGCTTCTGGCCAAAAAAGTCAGCAGTTTGAGCCCACTAGCGACACCAAGGGAGATGAGTCAGTCTGTTCCTGTTGGGATTCAAAGCCTGGGAAACCTGAGGAAGGGCTGCCATGAGGTAGGATCAGTTCGGCAGCAGTAGGTGGTTGTTGGTTACTCTGTGGCCAGCAGAGTGCTGAGCAGGAAGAGAGTAATGACGTCAACACGCTGTTCCTGCCTCAAGGAGCTCACCACAGCTTACAGCATGTCTCCTGCCCAGGCTCCACTACGGGCTCCAGGCTCTATCCAGCACACCTGCTGCGGGAGGTGGGATGAGGCAGTGTGACAGGCGAGATCTGGAATCAGACAGCCCTGGGCCCACATCCTAGCTCAGCCCGCCTAGCAGCACGATATATGCTTCAGTTTCCTTGTTGGTGGAATGTCACAACAATCCCTGCCTTTCTCGCCCAGCAACTGGGGTGCTCACCCAGTGACGGGGCTATTATTAGTGTATCGGGCAGTGAGGGGACAACAGGCCCTCAGGACAGGTCACAGGAACCCACAAAGTCTTAATCAAAGAAGGAGGTCACCATGTTGGGCTCACCTGACTGAGTACAAAGAAGGTACGGACATTCCAAAAGCGGGCCTGCTCCTGGAGGAAGGTTTTCAGGTAGATGCCCTCGAAGGTCTTGAAGCAGCCAACCAGGGTGACAAAGGTCTCGTCATCAGCGTTGTCCGTGATGCTCTGCAGGATGGGCACCATGGGAGCCAGGCCTGTGCCTGCAGCCAGCATAAGGAGCTCACCATACTGAATGATGGGGATGGAACAAGACAGGAGGACTGGGAAACTTCTCAAAGAGACCCTGCCACCACCCTACAACTAAGCCCTTTCTTGGACTGGCTTGGACCAGATCACATAGTCCCTTCTGGTGTCCTGTCCATCTACCTTTTACAAAAAAACCATCTTTACTTGTGAAAAGCTATAGCAAGTGAGGCCTGTGAAACACAAATCATGGAAATGGGGTTGACAGGGAGTGTAACTATGCAGCCTACCCTGTAAGCAGTTCGGCTGCCTTCTAAGGCACCCCACTGGGCTTCTGCTCACTCACTTCCACTGTCAGGGAGCTCACTACCTCCCAGGGAAGCTTGTTCATTGGGTCCTTCCCCTTTGCCAGGGAGGTCGCCTTCAGCTCACACAGGGAGATTGCCTATCTTTCTCCTGAAGAGCTGCTGAAAGAAGTTGGGATAGATAATAACCAAAAGCTGTTGTGAGGATTAAATGAGATATTATGTGGCAAGTATGAAAAATAATAGCCTGGCATATCACAGATGGACCAGAAGCCTTTGATATTATCATTATGTATGTGTACACATATGTTATCTATGTGTGTATGTATGTGCTTTTAGGTATATCCAAACATAGCAGAGGAAGGGTATACACTAAGGTCCCAAGGTATCTGGGGAGATGGCCTGTGGATGTTTTTATTTTCTTCCTTTTGCCTCTCAGTATCTGCCAATTTTCCCCCCTGGTGCAACAAACGTGTCTTGCATTTATAATAAGAAAAAATCCAATAAAAGCTATTTTTAAATTAAACAGAAATAAGAGAGGCAGGCATGATTCATTCTTTTCCATTTGTTTTCATTTTCTTTTGTTTTTCTAATTATAAAGGTAATAGGTGTTCCTTGCAAATAATTTGGAAAGTATAATGAAGAAAAGAAAAAACACCTCTAAGTTTACCATTGAGAGAAGCAAAGATTTCATTGTGCTTTCTTTCCATATTTTTTTCTATGCATTTTAACAGTTTCTCAGCCTATTATGCATTCAATTTTGCTAGCTAATCTTAAAGGATAAGCACACAACATCATTTACAAACATCATTTCCAGACCCAGAAAAATCTTTTCTCAAGCATTTGGAAGCCAGTTTACTGACCAGTTCCCTTATTCTTGGGTTGTCTCCAAGCATGTGCTATTAAAAAGCTGCAATGAACATGCACAAGTCAGCCAGCAGTCTGGAGTCTTTCAACAGGACAGACTTCCAGAAGTGGAATTAATGGGTCAAAGGATTTGAAGATTCTTAGGATTCTTGGTACAGGCAGCCAACTGCTTTCCAGACGGGCACTCACTGATGAGAAAGGATTCATTCTTCCTGATAAAGTCAGGGAAGGATTTGAGCACATTGTGATGGGGAAGGGATGAGCTTCCCAGGTTGGAAAGCAAAGGCCCTGAGCATCAAGCCATGGAGCGTATTCCAGGAGGGGTCTCTCTGGTTACATGATTAGAATATGAAATTTAAAAAAATAAATGGGGGTCAGATGGCATACCTTCACCAGTTGCTGCTGCGTGGATTCTGGATTATAACGTCCCATGAGTGTCAGAGCAGAACGTTTTCCAGTTTACAATGGCTTTTTCAGAAGTAAACCACCAGGCCTTTATACTGAGGTGCCTCTGGGAGGAATGGAACTTCCAACTTGCTGGTTTGAGATGCGTGGGTTAATTGTTTATACCACCCAGGGACTCTTTAAACAAAAAACTCGAGTTCACTGCTGTCATGTGCAACCCTTTATTGAGTTTCTGGGTCTGTAAACTGCAGGAGGAGACTACTGATCTTTCTTTCCCTTGAGTGGCTAGTGAATTCAAACTGCAGATATAAGCGCCCTTCGGGTTTGCAGTGCAACTCACTATGGACCAGCATCCTAGATGGTGTAAGGATCTGTTGTTTTCAGGTTGATTCCACCTCTTACCAGTCCTGCAGAACAGAGTTGGCCCTCCCTGTAGGATTTCCAAGGCTGTAAATCTTTGTGGAAGCTACTGTTGTTAGGTACCTTCCAGATGGTTCTCACTCATAAGGACCCTGTGTAGAACAATGAAACACTTCCCGTCTCATAGCGACTCATAGAGACCCCACGTACAACAGCCCTGAACTCTGCTCTATTCTGAGCCAATCTTATTGTCTCTGACACACCTACCCTCATTACCCCAGTCATTGCATCAATCCATCTCATCAAGGGTCTGTCTTCCTCTCTTGTGCTGTTCCTCCACCCTCCCAAGCATGATATTCCTCTCCAAGGACTGATCCCACTTTGCAATATATCCAAAGTATGTCAGACAAAGCTTCAGAATTCTTGTATCCAAGGAGCAGTCTGGCTTCACCTTCTCCAGGATGAACTTGTTTGTTCTCCTAGCAGCCCATGGTATATTCAATACTCTTCTCCAGTACCACCACAGCTCAAAGGCATCAGTTCTCCTTCTGTCATCCCTAGTCACTGTCCAGTTCTCTGATGCACACCAAATAATTGCAAAGACCATGGCCTGAATTGGGTGCACCTTGGTGGAGACTGCTGACTTTCCCAATGCAATTAATATTTTCATTTCCTGGCTGCTGGTACCAAGAGTGTTGGTTGTGGAGCCAAGCAAACTGAAGGTGTTAACAATCACAATGTCATCACCATCTATCATGATGCTGCCAATCAGCCCAATGATGAGAATCTTTGTTTTCTTAATGTTGAGCTTCAATCCATATTGAAGGCTGCAGTCCTTGACCTTCTGTAGTAAGCGCTTCAGGTCCTCCTGTTTCAGCAAGCAGGGTTGTGTCATCTGTGTAATGCAGGTGTTGATGAGTCTTCTTCCAATCCTAATGCCACATTCCTCCTCATAGAGCTCAGCCTCCCAGATAATCTGTTCTGTGTACAGATTGAAAAGGTTTGCAGACAGGACACATCCCTGGCATACGCCCTTCCCAACTTTGAACCATGCAGTGTTTCCTTGCTCTGTTCTGATGATTGCCTCTTGGTTCACGTATAGGTTTTGCATTAGCACGATCAAGTATTCTGGTATTCCCATTCTTCTCAGAGTCAGCCACAGTTTGTTGTGATCCACACAATCAAATGCCTTTGCACAGTCAATGAAGCACAGGCAGACCTCTGGTGCTCTCTAGCCGCACAGTAATTGCTTTGTCTGAGCCCACTCTTCCTGCCACTGTGTCAGTCCATCACGTTGAGAGTCCTCTTCTTTATCAGTAGCCCTCTACACTGCCAAGCTTGCTCTCTCTCCAGAAACTGGGCCCTCCTAACTGAGATGAAGTATCACCATCTTCATTTCTAAGAAGCATTTTGGCTGTATTTCTTCTAAGACAAATTTGTTCATTCTTCTGGTTGTTGTTGCTAATTGCCTTCAAGTCGAGCACAACTCATAGCGACCCTATGAACCAAAGGCTTGTAGCCCCTCTACAACTATTGACATTTATCAAAGTTCACAGGGTTTCCGGAGGCATGTTATTTAGGAAGTGGATGTCACTCCTGCTTTCAAACCTGTCATAGTACGTTGCGATGTATCGCGATCCTATGTACAGCCTCTCTGAACCCCTCCCTGTTCCGAGCACCAGTCTCACTAACTCCGACACACCAACCCCCATCGTCCCAGTCACTATATCAATCCATCTCATCCTGGGTCTCTCTCTCCTGCGCTGTCCCACCATCCTTCCTAGCATGATGTCCTTCTCCAAGGATTGATCTCTCCTGGCCACATGCCCAAAATAAGTGAGGCAAAGTTTCAAAATCCTAGCTTCCAAGGACAGACTTTTGGCTTCACCTTCTCCAAGACAGACCTATTTGTTTTCTTGGCAGTCCATGGTATGTTCAAGACTCTTCTAGTACTCCAGGTATTTTCATTATTCTTTACCAATACTGTGACTCAAATGCATCAATCCTTAAATCTTCTTATTCACTGTCTTGCTTTCATGTGTATATGTTGTTGTTGTTGTTGTTATGTGCCATCGATTTGGAACCCACTCCTAGCTGACACTCCAGCAGGTTTTCAGAGGCTGTGTATCGCACAGGAAGTAACTGACTAACTTTCTTCTGAAGAACAGCTAATGAATTCGAATCACGTGCTTATCATCTGACAACACAACTCCTTACCCTCTAGGCTACAGAGCTGCTTTGACATGTGTATGAGACAACTGAAAATGCCACGGCTGGGGTCAAGTGCACTTTAGTCCTCATGGTGAAATCTTGCTTTTATTTAACAAATTAAAGAGATCTTCTGCAGCAGATCTATCCAATGCAAAATACCACTTCTTTACTCTTGTTTTCATAGGTATTGATTGTGGATTCAAGTAAAATTAAATCCTTGATAAATTCAGTATTTTCTCCATTTACCTTGATGTTGCTTATTGGTGAGGCTGTGAGGATTTTTGTTTTATGCTGAGGTGTCATCCATAGTGAAAGCCATAGTTTTTTCTCTCTCAGTAAGTGCTTTAAGTCCTCAGCTTTTAGCAAGCAAGTAGTGTCTAATTGCACATTGCAAGTTGTTAATGAGTCTTTCTCAATTCTGAAGCTATAATCTTCTTTATACAGCCCAGCTTCTCTAATTATTTGCTCAGTATATAGATTGAGTAAGTGCAGTGAAAAGATGCAACCCTGCAATATACTTTTCCTGATTTTAAACCACACGGTACTCTCTTGTTCTGTCTGAATGAATGTTTCTCGGTCTGTGCATAAATTCTGCCTGAGGTTAATCCTTACCTGTTCCTCCTTTTGGAGAAAAGTTAAATGTTCTAGAATTTCTATTCTTTACACTGTTATTATAATTTGTTAAGATCTACAAAACGGAATGGCTTTACACAGTTACTAGAACACAGGTAAACATCTTTCTGGTATTCTCTGCATTTAGTCAAGATTTATATGACATCAGTAGTAACATCATCTCATTCTACATCCTCTACTAAATTCAGCTTGCATTTCTAGTAGTTCTTTGTCAATGTACTGCTGCAACTGTTTTTTAATTATCTTCAGCAAAATTTTGCTTGTGTGGCATAAATGATTTTGTTTGATAACTGCTACATTCTATTGGATAACCTTTTTTTGGATGGGTATAGATATGAATTTCTCTTCCAGCCAGCTGGCCAGGTAGCTATTTCAAATGTCTTATCTGAGATGAATGAACAAGCACTTCTGATACTACATCGTTTTGTCAAAACATGCCAACTAGTATTCCATCAATTCCTAGAGCCTTATTTTTCATCAGTGTCTTCTGTGCATCTTAGACTTATTCCTTCCTCTTCCTCTGCTCTTATGGAAGCTTGAAATCTGAAATACCAGGCACATAAGTCCAGGTTTTCTAAACAAGGAGCAGCCATCCATGGTCTGAAGGTTGGGAAGGAGGTTTTGTTTATTAAAGCCTATTCCATCTTTTCCCACACCCAACTTCAAAGCTACTTTTGATATTGAGCTCAAGAAAACTGGCACAGTGAGATTCTATAACTTCAAACATAAAAGCTAGATAGAGTCTCAGAGAGTAAACTGAGAGAGGTTTCTTGTGGGTTTATTAGTGTGCTGCGACTGACCTGGTTCGGTTTATAGAAGAAGCCTCCAAAGGGTCCTCTCCAGAAAGCTGTGTCTCCTGCTTTCCAGGACTCGACATACTGGGACATCAGCCCCTCCCGATAGCACTAAAAGTGAACACAGAGGCCTTAGGGGATCAGACAGATGCTACTACTACAAACCACATTAGCCATTAATGTCAGGCCCATCCTGCCTCTGAGTGCTTCATGGGTTAGCACATCTAAACCTCCCAATCAGCCTGTGCAGCTGCTCTGACGATCCCATTTCTCAGATGAGGCCCAGAGGCTTAAACAAAAGGTAAATGATGAGGATGGAGTGAAAATCTGTAGGGCGTATAGTCTTTTTTTTTTTTTAGGGCGTATAGTCTTAACAACAACGATCTCAAACCCAAATACCTACAGGAGCCATGCAGGTGACAAAACTAAGTGAACTGCGAGAAAGAACATGATTAATGTTAGCGAACACTCAGACTCAGCCTCTGAGATACAAGAGGGAGTGGTGGGGACTGAGGTAAATTGGCAAGTGAATGCTACTTCTAAAGGAGGGAATCAGTTCATAGCTCTAGTCCAGGTGGTAGGATCAGTGTTACCAGTTCTGATTTCTTCTGAAATCTATCTTTAAAATCTCCCATTCTTGACAGGTCACCAATGATTAACAATTTTAAATCACCATTAGAATTCTTAGTGGCCCAAACATTTCTCTTTTAAGCATTTGTCTAAGGTTTAAAATCCACCAAGATGTACCTCAGAAGGTACTGGAAATCTGAGAAGATCACAGCCAGTGAAAATCCTTATAACAATTTTACTCTGAAACACACACACGGGGTCACCATGGGCAGGAATCAACTCAATGGCAACTAGTTAAGTTCAGAATGAAATAGTTCTTTTATAGGCTGGCCTAATTCATCTCCTCGATGGGTAAGAAAATAAAGGCTGTAGGAAAGAGTCTACATTTCTGGAGGCGGAGGGGAGGACAGCTTCCATTTCCTGGGCACTATTCTGGGCCAAGTACCATCTTGGGACACTAGAGAGATAGCTGGAACGTAAGCTCAACAAGGTCAGCCAAATGGACTTGATAAAGACATGAACCAATTCATGGATTGAAATTCAGGCCCTCCCCTTAAGGAGCTCACAGTCTAGGACAGCCCTGCGCCTCAGATATAAGCAAGGCTGTTTGTTACTGTTATGCTCCATCAACTCGGAACCAGTCATAGCTAACCCTCCAGCAAGATCTCAAGAGGTCATAAACTGCGTGGGAGGAAACTGTCCATCTTTCTCCCACAGAACGACTGGTGGATTTGAACCACTTGCTTTTGGGTTGGCAGTACAACTCCTTACCACTAAACTAAACCCCCAGCAAGGCAGGAACACCTAATATCTCATGAAAATATATAGGGCCAAAAGAACTCCAAGGAGGGCATAGCCACCGCTATGGGGTGGGATGAACATGGCCCCTGGAACAGGAAGCTTTGGAGTTGGATTTTGAAGAATGAAAAGTTAGTATTCACAGAAGATGTGAGTAAGAATGAAGAATTTTGGGCATTAGCTGTGGGATACTTTGGGGCAGGATAGCTCAGGTCTTATCTTGGGAACAGCAAGGAATCTTTGGGGGGTGAGTGATGGTGGGGTGAAGATGACAGACTAGAAAGGTGTTGTAGTGAGATTATAACCAGGATTGAAGGAAGGAGTATGCCTTGATCACCAGGCTGACTTTAAGTCCCCATGGCCATCCCTGGAACCATCCCAGACTCCTCTAGGTTGTACATGCATGAAGCAGGACCTGGAGGGAAACCTCTGGTCACCTGGAAGAGGTCTAAGAAAGAGGGGAGGGCTCTTCCCTTTAACATATTAGAGGCTGTGTCTTAAAGCACTCCTTATTTTCTGGCCCCAGCCTGTTGCTGTCGTCGAGTTGGAACTGACCAGTGGGTTTTCAGAGGCAGTATATCACTCGGGAGGAGACTGCTGGAGCAGCTGGTGGATTCAAACTGCATTCCTTGGGGTTGGCAGCCTAACTCCTTACCACATGTCACCAGTGCTCTCTGGCCACAGGCTAGGTGAAGGTAAAAGCACTAGCTATAGCTTTAGAGGCTCAATAGCATGAACATCACCCAAGGAAAAAGGAAGTGTTTTTCTCACTATCTCCATTGCTCACAGAGTGAATGATCACTATACACTTGTTAAAGACATTCAACTTTTGTTCTATCATTACTTGAGGGGCTTTGGGACAATGGCATCATATCTTTGCGTTTCAGTTTCTTCATCTGTACGATGAGGGGGTAGGAGGAACAACGTACCCTGCATGGGATGAGATTATGAGAATAAAGAGCCAGAAGTAATGCCTGGTGCCCAGCAGGTGTCTGAGAAATGAGAGTTCTTCCTTTCCTTCTATCTGGAAGGGTAAACTGAAAAAAAAAAAAAATCCTGCCATGCTTCCCAGTCTGCAAAGACATTTCTGGCTCTTCCTAGCCAGCGGCTTAGGGATAATTAAGCATCTCTCTAAAGAGAGGCTTTCCGGTAAACGAAGGAGAAAATCAGCCTTGCAGCTGGGAGAGATCCAGCTGCCCTGAAGAGCTGTCTCCAGGCTTATCCTTTCAACAGAAGCGCACCCAGACAAGCAGCTTGGGGAAGCAGGCCATTTGGAGAGGATTTGTGGAATCTCCCAGACAAACAGTTGCGTGGAGAAGGGATACCATCCAAGCTTATGTGTGAGGGAATAAACACTGCCTCAGAAGGCAGACAGGGAAGCTGGGAGACGGAAACAGTGCTAGGGGCTTGGAGTCAGGGGGCCGGGGCTCACCCACCAGCCGCACTTCTTACTAGATGTGAACCGCTGGCAGCTTCTGGGGCCTTGGTTTGTTATCGATGAAAAAAGGGCATGATGATTCCTGGCCCAGAAAGTAGAAGAATTCATAAACTGCAACTCTTAAAATACTGGTGTTCTCAAGGATTCTGTTTGGGAAATGATGCTCTAGAATTGTACATTAGGTTGACCCATGTAAACAGTTGTTTAAGTCAAAACTTAATGTTAAGAGTACCAGCAATGTCATATAGTCCAATCTAATTATTTCCCCCATATAATTGGCCATTCGTGACTTTTTATACAAGTCCTACTCCCTGAGACTTCAGGATGTTTTGTGTCTAGCTCACTCGGTTAATTTTATCCCTAAACTCCTACCCTCCAGCTACTTCCAGACTGGGAAACTACTATTTTGCATCCCTTCGTGCCTTAGGTTATTTAGCCCGTCAGCCCGGAATACCACCCCCTGCCACTTGTTTATATTCCCTGTGAATTTATATTCACTTTTCAAGGCCCAATTCAAATGCCTCTGGACCCATACTTTCTTCTAAGAAATGACAACAGGTCCTCTATGTCCCACTTTTCACTGGATTCTCTAATTCAAATCCTGCCCCTTTGGAATCTAGTGGTGGATTGAGGAGTGTCCTCCACAAAAGTCGCATCCTTCCCAGCTCCTCAGTTTTAACCTTGTTTGGAGATAAGATCCCTTCAAATGCAGAAAAAGCCCTGTGTTGGTGGTCTATCGAGGTCCTCTCCCAGAAAAAATGAAGCTGACCAAGGCCTCTTTCACGTCCTTGCTCCACCCTCACATCAATCTGCTTCCAGTAAACACTGGCTTTTCACATCAGTGGGAATTGCCCCATCTCCACCAAACTGGCAAATGGAAACACAGTGCGTGACATCTTAGAGCATCTGCATGCGTCAACTCACCTTAATTAAAACTTCAAAGTATCCTTTTGCGTTGGCAGGGCTAATGGGTGTATATGCTCTCTGGATTTCTAAGCCATCTACTGTTCCCCTGGAAAAGAGAAGGCAGCCAGCCAGCCAGTCACTCAACAAATCTACACCAAGTACCCTCTCTGCAGCAAGCTGGTAAAAGCAAAGGTAGCGTCTGGTGATTCCTGGTGGTTCTCACTGAGGGTCAGGCTCAGAGAAGCAGAGAAAAGAGCACTGGATCCCATCACTGCCACCTGACGGCTGGGAAACCCAAATCATTTTATACCCAAGAACCTCTGCAGCTCCTTCTGTACAATGGGAACAACAGTCTGTTGCCCGCCTGCCTCAGCTACCTGTTATGTGGCTCCACTTGGGAAAGTTTTTTTAACATATGATGCTGTTCTTCTGCTCTATAAGGTCACAATGAATTAGAGCTGACTGCCTTCTTATTGCTGTAATGTTGTCTGAAATGTCTACTACACCCTAGATACACAGTACGTATTGTCTTGTTTAATTCACACAACCCAGGGCCACACGGCTAGAATGCCACTCTGGCTCCATCTGACTCCAGAGCTGGGTTCTTCCTTACTGCTCCTGAGCTGCATGGGAGTTCCCAGACACTCTTCAAAAGTCCTACTATGTGCAGAATTCTCATCCTGGGCGTATGTAAAGATTTACAAAGTCCTGTTGCAGGGAAGCTAAAGGCAAGAAACATATTCAGCAAATGCTTGTAGAATAAATGATGAAATAAAGAATAGAATACATGTAATAGCTTGATTGAAAAGAACATTCTTTTATAATGGAGATAGGAATTGACATTTTATGTAGGAATGTGCCTTCTCACCTCCTAGAGTTTGTACTGAAGGAGGAACAGGCCACAGACAAGAGTGAAGACAGGAAAGGAAGTCATTCTGGCCAGAAAGAATAGTTTGGGCAAGAGCTCAGAGGCAGGACAACGTAGGGGCAAGACAAGAAACACTGAGTGAGTAATGAAGTTGGAACATAGCATATGCTTAGAGAGGAAGAGGGAGAGCTGGTGGAAAAGAAGGTGGGGTGTTGGGTTCGATTTCCCTGTGAAGGCAAAGCAGAGCACTGAGAGGTGTTTGGGGAGTAGCGGAGTTGGATGTGGGCTAGGAACATCACTGCAAAGGTAAAGAGAATAGAGGTCAGTCGGAGACAGGCAGTTCTGGGCATTCCTGATTTACAGGCAGGAAAACTGAAGAACTGCATGGAGCAGTGACCTGCCCTGTGATCCCTCCCACCCACTGGAATAACGAGCTTTAAGGATGCCAATCAGGCCAGCTACCAGTACTAGTTGAGTATCAGCACTAGGGTCAAAGTGAAGCCAAGTAGGCGAGTCTGCTCAGTAATGAGTTTTTCCAATGTGTCCTCTGGTTGTATCTTCTGAAGTCTCTGCTGGTTCCTCCTCCTACCAACACCACTGTTATCTGTCCTATGCCCTGTCCTCTTTCCACACAACACACATTCTCAGGTATATGCTGATTAACTCTCAAATGCATATCTGAATCAGATTTCTCTACCAAGTCTCAGAGTCAGGGAATGAAGTGCCTGGTGGATGGATGTCTTCATTTCCAAAGGCCACTATGAGTTTCAGCCTCAATGTTTCCAAGTCAAAGTTAATGCCTTTTCCACACAGGCTCCTCCACCTGAATCCCACTGGAGGCCTCCCTTTCTCTCCACCACTCCCAAACTCTTCCTGGAGCCTTTGGTGCATCCAGCTCCTTAACCACAACTATTACTCATTCATATGTGTCAACTCACACATCTAAAAGGGTAGTCTAAAAAAAATTAAAATAAAAAAATAAAAGGGTAGTCTGCTACCAGCTACGTGAACCTGAAGAGGAAAGCCCTGCCTACAGAGAGTTCATTTCTCTCACAGGATCACTATGAGTAAATGTAGGCTAGGTTTACCAGATACCTTATTTTCAAGAGATGCAGGAAATCCAAGATTTTCCATGCAAAGTTCCAAATTTGTAAATGTCATCATTTAATTGGGGGAAAGAAAAGGTAAAAACATATCTGCTGTCAGATCTGACCCACAGCTACCACTGTGTAAAGTGACTTCCTGGGATCACAGAGCAACCCTCCAAGTTTCACACAATTTCCCTCCCATTGTGTCCTCTTTAACTAGAATTCGTGTTTGTTTTTTCCCTTTGACTACCTTTGTAGTCAACCACTCACAGTAGTTGATTTGGACTCAAGACAACCCTCCATCTGGTTTCTGAAGCTGTAAATCTTTATGAGAAGAGACTGCCCATCTTTCAAAAGTAGAACACAGTGGGAGGAGACTGCTCATCTTTCTCCCACGGAGCAGCATGTGGACTCAAACCACATGCCTTGTGATGGGGAGCGTAACCTCCTCACCACTAAGCCACCAGAGCTCCCCTCTCTGTAACAGCAATCATTAAAGGAGTTCAGGAAAAAAGCTATGTTGAACCTTGTCCCTGGACAGGTAGAGTGGGATTCAGGGTGGGAATAGGATTCAAAAGTAAGCAAAGACTTAACAACTCATGGAGAGAACAGAGCCTCAGCAGCCAGACTTTCTGAGTTTAAACTTGGGCTCCACTACATATCAGCTGTGAGATCTTGGGCAAGTCTTCTCTAAATGACAATATTCCTTCTCTCAACTAGTATTAATCATATTAGGTTGGTGCATCAGGATTGTATCCTTTCTCCACACCATTTCAGTCTGTATGCTGAGCACATAATTCACAAAGTTAGATTCTATGAAGATTGTGGCATCATCAGGATTAGAGGACTCATCAACAACCTGTGTTATGCAAATGACACAGCTTTGCTTCCTGAAAAGTGAAAGAGGCTATGAAACTGCAGATGATAAAGGACTACAGCCTTTGGTACAGATTACACCTCAACATCAATGAAACAAAGGTCCTCACTACAGGATCAATAGTCAACATTATGATAGAGAAAGGATTGAAGCTGTCAATTATTTCATTTTGCTTGGGTCAACAATCAACACCCTTGATACCAGCAGTCAGGAAACCAGGAGCTGTATAGCATTGAGCAAGTCTGCTGTCAGAGACCTCTCCAAAATGTTGCAGAGCAATGATATCAGTATGAAGACTAAGGTGTGTCTGACTCAGGCCAAGGTTTTTTCAATCACCTGCTACACATCAGAGAGCTGGGCAATGAATAAGGATGACAGAAGAATGGATGCCTTTGAGCTGTGGAGTTGGAGTACTGAATATCCCATGAACTTCCAAAAGAAAAAAACAGATACATCTTGGAGAAAGTGCAACCAGAGTGCTCCTTGGAGGCAAAGAGGGTGAAGCTGCATCTTTCATAATTTCATATTCAACTCGATGACACCTAACTACCACCGCCACCACCACAGGACCTAGAGTCTAACTGCCTGCCTTCAAATCCTGGCTCCAAAACTGTACTTCTCTGACTTGAGCTTCTACTTGGGTAAGCGTGGTACATCAACCACACAGGATTTTGTGAGGATTAAATGAGCTCATGCATATAAGACCCTAGCCTAGGACTGTAAGTGCTATAAAGTTATTTGCTATTATAATAATTATTATTCTAAAAGTTCAATCCCAAGAATCCTCTGAGTTACATTAAATATGCCTGTTTTTAAAGTTACAAAATAAAAGCTTAATGGAAGGTAAGCAAATTGTCCTAGACCACATACAGCTAGCAAATGGCAAAGCAGGACTCCAGGCTTCGACACTCCCACTACCTGCATGTACCGTAGGATGAGGTGCTGGCCAGGCCGCAGGCCAAGCTGGCTGTTCCCAGGCAGTGCAAATCGGGCACAGTAGGTATCCTTGGTGACCTTGTCCACAGTGCTGATGCTGAAGGCCAGGAAGGTCTCTGGGTTCAGATTGGAGGGGCAGCTCTGCAAAGGCAAAAGATCCAACAAGGTTAAGGCCAAGGCTCAAAGGATAAGCAGGCATCCACAACCATCCTTCACACTGTCCTCAGGGAAAAGGTGTCCTGGTCATTAAATTTTCTGTACAACAGAGGGTAGTCCCATCTTAGCTCTTTCATGTTCTCGTTGAAGACTGCCAGAGCACTTTGTAATGAGCTTCCCCTTGACAAAGGGCAGACTCCTTTGCTGGATATTCAAGGGCCTAGTGGGTGAGTGTCCAACCTTACTCTACTTTCCATGTATCAGACAGCAGACTATCCTCCTAAGCATAATTTGCTGCCTCCTGCCTCTCTACTCAAGCTGTACCCTCTATCCAGAACACACATCCTAGTCTACGAAATAACCTAGATGGTCTGCAAACCTGCTAAAATCCAAATTTAGAGAATTAAGAAAATGATGGCATTTTAAAGATTGCTGTTGTTAGATACCGCTGAGTCGAGTACAACTCAAAGCGACCCTATGAACAGTGGATCTGAACCCAGTCCTATCCTGTGCCATCCTCACACTTCCTGACACCTATAATCCACTGTAGCAGTCACCGTGTCAATCTCTACCTGGTCGAGGGTCTTCCTCTTCTTTGCAACCCTCCACCCTCTCAAGCATCATGTCCCTCCAAGCAACACGTCTGAAGTATGTGAGGTGATGCCTCATCATTCTTGCCTCCAAAGAGCATTCTGGCTGCACCCTCTCCAAGACATATTTGTTCTTTTGGCTGTCCATGGGATGTTCAGTGTTCTTCTCCAGCACCACAGCTCAAAGTGATCAATTCTTCTGCCATCCCTATTAATTGTCCAGTTCTCAGATGCATAGCAAGTAATCAGAAAGACCATGGCCTGAATCAGACATGCCTTAGTCATCAAACTGATATCATGACTCCTCAATAATTTCGAGAAGTCCCTAACTGAAGACTTTCCCAGTGCAATGTGTCTCTTGATTCTTGACTGGTGGCGTCAAAGGTGTTAATTGTGAATCCAAGTAAGATGAAGTTGTTGACAGTTTCAATCTCCTCTCCATCCACCATGCCTTATTGGTCCAGTGGTAATAATCTTGGTTTTCTTGACATTGAGATGCAATGCAAATTGAAAGCTGCATTCCTTGATCTTCTGCTTCAAGTCCTCCTCATTCAGCAAGCAAGGCTGTGTTATCCACATAACACAGGTTATCGATGAGTCTCCCTCCAATCCTGATGCCACACTCTTCTTCACAGAATCTAGCTTCTTAAATAATTGGCTCAGCATATAGATTGAATAGGTATGGAAAGAGAATACAACCCTGACACACTCCCTTTTCAATTTTAAAACATGCAGTGCTCCCCTGCTCTGTTCACACAACAGCTTCTTGGTCCAGGTCAAGGTTTTACATAAGCACAATTAAGTGCTCTGGAATTTCCATTCTTATATCAGCCTCAACTTATTATGAAAAACACAAACACCTTTGCAAAGTCAATAAAGCACAAAAAGACATTCTTCTGGTAGTCTTTACTTTCAGCCAGGATCCATCTGACACCAGCTTCTTCTAAATCTTGTTTGAACTTTTGACAGTTCTCCATCTATGTACTGTTGTAGCCATTTTTGAAGGATCTTCAGCAACATTTTGCTCGCATGTTATATTAATGATACTGTTTGATAAGTGTCCATATTCAGTTGGATCACCTTTCTCGGGAATACAAAAAAATATGGACCTTTTCCAATACGTTGTCCAGAGAGCTGTCCTCCAAATTTCCTAGCAAAGACTGGCGAGCAAATCCAAGGCTGTATATGTTAATTGAAACAAGTCATTTGGTATCCCACTGATACCTGATGGGGCCTTATTTTTTGCCAATGCCTTCAATGTAGCTTCCACTTCCTCCTTTATTACCACTGGCTCCTGCTCATATGGTACTTCCTGAAATTCTTCAGTATCAATCAGTTCTTTTTTGTACACTGATTCTGTGTATTCCCTCTGTCTTCTTTTGATGCTTTCTGGATCATTTAATATATTGTTCATAGCATCTTTCAATATTTCAACTCAAAGTTTAAATTTGTTTTTCAGTTCTCTCAGCTTGAGAAATGCACAGCAAGTTTTTCCCTTTCTAATCTCCAATCCCAACTCTCATTCCATTATAATACTTTGCTGTGTCCTCTCGAACTAACCTTCAAAATCTTATGCTTTGGCATGTTTTCCGTTTTTAGGGTTTTTTGTTTTGTTTTTTCTTCTCAATGCTCTGGTGTAACTATCAGAGTCTCTCTGACATCTGTTTCAGTTTTTTCTTTCTCCTCTGTTTTTGTAATGACCTTTTGTTGTCTTCATGAATTATATCCTTTACATCATTTCATAGCTCATCTGGTCTTTAATCACTGGTGTTCTATACCTCAAATCTATTCCTAAAATGATCTTGAAATTCATATGGAATAGATTCAAGATCATATCTTGGTTCTTGTGGATTACTTAATCCAGTACCTTCATTTCATATTCTCTGAGCAGGGACTCAAGGTCATGTCTTCTAAGTTTAGCTTAGTGTCCTTACCACTCCATCCCCCCACTTCCATGATGACTTTTCTGGATACCAGGACTCACAGAGGACTTCCTGTAAAATGATCACACTAGGTTTACTCCATGCCTAGCTTGGGGCCTGGCATCACAGATTCCTGAGGCACCAACTCTGCAGCCCCAACAGTGCCAGAGAGCTGACCAACACTCTGTCTTGGCCTCCACTGTGTCCTTTCTTCATCTATCCCATGCACCTCTAGTGGGTTTTCTGAGGCAGCAAAGCACACAGGAGGAGACAGCCCATCATTCTCTCTCAGGGCCACTGGAGGATGTGAAGATTCTAACCATCAGAGAGATATCACTTTTGGGTTAACAGCACAGCTCTCGATGGCCCACTCAACCAGGGAACAACCGACAATGTGTTTATATTCATACTGTTCAAATGAGAAAACTGAGAGTGGTTGCTTTAGGTGCTGTAGAGTCAATCATGACTCCTAACAGCCTTATGAACAGATCTAAACTTCACTTCACTCCATTATTATAACCACTTGCCAATTCATCTTGTGAAGGGTCTTCCTCTCTTTCTCTGACCCTCCGTCTTTCCCAGCATGATGTCCCTTTCCAAGGACCAGCCTCTCCTGACAGCATGCCCCTGCCCAAAGTATGTGAAAGGACGTTTCACCATTGTTGCCTCAAAGATGCACCCCATGTGCACTTCCTCCAATTCACCTACGACTCGACTTCACAACACAGAGAGAGACCAGATGGCCTACTGGACTGCAAATGATGCTACCAAGCCAAAGGTGGGTGACTCTAATCTGTGGCCCTCAGGTCTGTTCTTAATTGTTTTTGGTCAAACATTCTTCTAGGTCGTACAGCCCTGGTGTGTCCACTTGCCGTACAGAGGTAACTTGTGGTTGTTGTGAAGCTGAACACTGTGACACTGATGTGTCAAATGTGATAATGGTTACCCATGGTGGAGTGTTTGGTGGAGCTCCCGATTAAAACAAGCTTGGAAGCAGGAGTGGCATCCACTTCTGTAAATAGCTTGTCTCAGAAACCCTCGAGAACCTGGAGAAAGGTTGAAAGTCATGCTAGCTTGCTCTTTTGGCAGTCCATGGGATATTTAGTACTCCAACACCACAATTCAAAGGCATCAATTCTTATTCTGTCTTCCTTATTCACTGTCCAACATTCAGAGACAGAAAACATTTAACAATATACCATGGCTTGGATCAGGCACACCTTAATCGTTATAATGACATCCTTGGTGGGTGGAAAGTCTGATGCTGCTGGATGCCTGACAGTTGCCATGAAGTTCAACCTTTTCATGACCTCAAACCTCAACAAGAATCACAAACATCACTTCACTGGCCCCTCGCACGTGGGCAGGGAGATCATGTCCTCCCTTCTCTCCAAGGAACTGTGCCATGTACAACATGCGCTCCATTCCCGTCTGCAAAGATGATGAGGGGCAGGTGGTTAGAGGGCACCACAAAGGTCAGCAAATGGACAAAGTCGTCCAGTGTACAAAAAGAACTATGTCATCTGCATTCAAAACGTGGTCTACCTGTGCCTGTGGGCATCCACTCAAGCAAGGTGGTTATTATCAGGCTAAAACTGAATAAAGACTAGAAAAAAATTCTTGCATGTAAAGCCAAATTTCGGCAAGTTGGAAAAGAGAAAGGCAAATATAAGGAAGAATTGATTGAGAATATGCAGGAATGAATAGAACATGTTGAGCAACCACAGTTTAAGCAGATTTCTAGCTGGGTGTGTGTTCTTGTGAATGTTCCAAATTTCCATCTCGTTGTTCAGAAGTGGCTCTGGCAAATAAAAGTTGGAAATGTTTAAAAAGAGAAAATAAAATGACATCTTTGTTCTTTAGAACTTTGGAGAGGTCCTTGACAGCAGATTTTCCCAACACGACATGTCTTCTGATTTCTTGACTGATGCTGTTCTGGGTGCTAATGAAGGATCCAAGTAAAAGAAAATACTTTACAACTTCAGGGTTTTCTCCATTTATCAAGATATTGCCTATTCGTTATTTACCATTGCAAGAAAACGGAAATAACCCAGATGTCCAAACACAATTGAATGGATTGAGAAATTATGTTACATTCACACAATGGAATACGATGCAGCATGCAGGAGCAGTGATTTACTTGTAAATTATTACCTGACTTGGGAGGGACTAGAGAGCATTATGCTGAGTGAACTGACTCAGTTACACAAGGATAAATATTGTACAAAACCATTATTGTAGAATGAGTATGGGGATCTAAGGCAGGGGGAGTAAAAGCAGAGGGGTGAGGATGTGCAGGGGGAGGAGAAATTAATCATGGAGCTGTACAATTTGCTGGGGGGGGGGAGAAATTGGAAGAATCGGGTCTGAAAAACAATGTATTCAAATTTTGTAAATAAAGTAGTGTAATTTAAAAAAAATAAAAATGATGCTGTCTATTGTTGGTCTAATAGTAAACATTTGTTTTCTTCATGTTGAGATACATCCCATGTTGAAGGCTGTAGTCTTTCATCTTCTACAGTAAGTGCTTCAAGTCTTCTTTACTGTCTATAAGCAAGGGTTTGCCATATGTATAACACAGATTGTTGATAACTCTTCCTCCAATCCTGATGCCACATCCTTCTTCATATAGTCCGGCTTCTTGAATGTGTTGCTCTGCATACAGACTGAACAGGTATGGAGAAAGGATAGAACCTTGATGCACATATTTCCTGATTTTAAACCATGCAGTGTTTCCTTCTTCTATTCAGACAGCTGCTCCATGGTCTATGCTGAGATTTCACATGAGCACAAATAAGTGTTCTAGGATCCCCATTTTTTTAAATGTCAGCCATTATTTGTTATGATATCCCTATTGATCGAATAAGAAAACTGAGATTTAGCAAACTAAACTGACATGCATAAGATTATACAATTAACCGAGATAACTGGATCTCAGCTCACATCCTTATTCTCACTGGCAATGTCTGTATCTCAGCTGGTGCTAATCATTGGGCAGACACCACAGGTTCTAGTCAAATGGCTTGTTTTAAATCAGAGCTTCAACACTTCAACACTGTATGACCTTGGGCAAGTTACTAAAGCTCTTGGACTTCAGTTTTCTCTTGGGTATAGTAACAGTACCTACAAAATAGGCATTTATAAGGAGTAAATGAACTCATGCATGCAAGTACAAAAACTAGGTATTGACAAAGACACACTGAGGCAATAAGTCTAAAATACCAATGGACCACTCTAACCTCTACCTCCACAACTCTTGAGACCAGAAGAACTAGATGGTGCTACTACTGCAGATTGATCTTAAAAAAAGAACACAGGGGCAGTTCAAATCCAACAGATGCTCTGCTGAAGAAGGAGGGGCAATCTCTTCCTGTACCAGTCGGATCCGATCTGACAGTAAACACACACACACAAAATTAAAAAAAAAATAAAATATAAAAGAACACAGGAGAGACAAAGCAGGAGGAAAAAATAGGGAACAAAACACGAAATTATAAAAATGGCCAGGTCTGCTGGAGTGAGAGAAAACAATGGGACCCTCAAGATTTTGGCATTTAGTTAAGCCTGGAACAAAACTCACCCCACATGGCTCAACTTCCAGGCAAACAACAGACAGACTTATAAGGGAGAGAGTAGTAACATGAGGGCAGTGTTCATTTCTTAAATAACTAACCACACAAGAGCAAAAGGGCAGCATTTACCCAGGGATAAAGCTCAGAAGATAGAAGGATGAATGGAAAGCAAATCATAGGGACTAAGGCTGTTATAATGTAAGGATTGAGTGAATCTCAAAACAAAATATGAATATCTGAACGGAAAATTAACTTGCTCACTCTATAAACTTACACTCAAATTGCAATAATTTGTATCTATAAAATGTCAGATGTATTCTGGCTTAAAATAAGGAATACCAGAAGAATATCTGTTTGTACTTTATTGACTATGCAGAGGCATTTGACTGTGTGGATAATGACAAGTTGTGGCTGACACTGAGAAAAATGGGAGTCCCAGAGCACTTAACTGTGCTCATTCAGAACCTATACCTGAACCAGGAGGCTGTTGTGCAAACAGAGCAGGGGAGCACTGCATGGTTTGGAATTGGGAAGGGCGTCTGTCAAGTTGTATTCTTTCTTCACTCCTGTTGGATCCATATGCTGAGCAAATTATCTGAGAAGCTTGACTCTATGAAGAGTATGGCATCACGATTGGAGGGTGACTCATTAATAACTTGCGTTATGCACATTACTTGCTGAAAGTGAGGCGGACTTGTGAAGCACTTGTTATAGAAGATCAAGAAAGGTAGCCTTCAGTACAGTTTGTGTCTCAATATCAAGAAAACAAAGATTCTTACCACTGGACGAATAGGCAGTGTCATGATGGATGGAGAGGAGCCTGAAACTGTCAACAACTTCATCTTGCTTGGATCCACAATTAACACTCTTGGCACAAGAAGTCAGGAAGTAAAGAGACGCATTGCATTGCAAAAATCTGCAGTTAGGGACCTTTCCAAATTATTGAGAAGTGATGATGTCAGTTTGAGGACTAAGGTACATATGATTCAGGCCATAGTCTTTCCGATTACTAGCTATGTATCCAAGGTCTGGACAATGAATAAGGATGACAGAAAAAGAATTGTGGTGTTAGAGAAAAGTACTAAACATCCCATGGACGGCCAAAAGAACAGATATATATATATCTTGGAGTGGGTGTGGCCAGAGCGCCCTTTGGAGGCAAGAATGATGAGGCTTCACCTCACATACTTTTTGACATGTTGCTAAGAGGTGCTATTCCTTGGAGAGGGACATGATGCTGGGAAGGGTGGAGGGTCAGCGAAAGAGAGGAAGGCCCCTCAACCAAGTAGATTGACAACGTGACTGCTGCAATGGGCTCTTGTGTATCAGGAAGTGTGAGGATGGTGCAGGACAGGACCAGGTTCAGATTTTTTGTTCATAGGGTAACTATGAGTCATACTCAACTCGACAGCACCTAACAACAAACCATATATATATATATATATATATATTATAATATAAAGGTACTATAAAGCACATTGCTATGCTGACAAACATAATTGTCCTAAGTCCAAGTTAACTTGATAGCAACTGATTTTTACCTTTTCCCCATCTCCCCCTCCCTCCAGTGAAGGATCCAGGGAATGCTAGTCCATTGGAATACAAAATTGGTATAAATAAAATCACAAAAGAGAATTCATTGTCCCAGGAAAAAAAATTTTAAAAGAATTCAGTCTTGGAAGTGCTATATAAGCGTGTTATCATTATTTACTATCAATGCATTATCTAGTTCAAGTTCAAGAACTTCTGAATCATGTATTACATCTCCTTTCTGTAAGGGGAGGTTTCTGAGGGTAAGAACACAGGCATCTTTACTTTATCATCAACCCCCCTGGGCCCTGCACATGGGGTGCATGCTTTCTGACAGATAAGGGAGAAAGTCAACAGTCTTATTATGCACTACCTGCAATTCTAGGTGCTACTTGAGGTTCTGAGGTTAAAGCAATGAGCAAGGCAGAAATAGAAACCCTGCTCTTTTAGAACTTAAAGTATAGCAAAGAGGTTTACAAATAAACAATCTAGCTGGCGTCTGGTGGTGGTAAAGGTTAAGAAGAGAAATGAAACAGGATGAGAGGTTGTAGAGTCATAAGGAATTAGTAGAGAGAGTAGTTAAAAAGTCTCTTAGATGAAATGAAATTTGCAGAGATCAAGAAAAAGTGAGGGGGGTCAGACAGTGAGGAGGAGAAACACGGGCATTGTCATGAATATTTCTGTCGTTGGCAGAGGTCAGAAGGCTTTGGTCCCTACCAATATGTTCCAGAGGTAGAACTACACAGAGGCATTTAACAGTGATAAATGTAAAGGTGCACTTTGGGGTTAAAAAAATAATTTACTCAGGATGCATGATCTACAGGTTAGAATAAGCTTTGGCCTAATTTGGATCCTAGCAATGGAAAATAGCTAATAATTGATTAAAAAGCAACTGTGATGCCAAGTTGCGTTGAAAGAAGTGAGATCCAGGAAAGTGGGAGGAGATGCTTCCACACTACCAATCAGATGGGACGTGGACAACGGGAAGACCATCCAAAGACAGGCTAACAGGATGGGAATTCAAACCAGGCTTATGTGTAGTAATAGAAGGAGCACAGGCTTAGTTTCCCTATTTGCACAATTCAAGGGTTGAACTTTACAGCGGGCCAGAAAAAAAAAGAAACGATAGTAACAGACGTAGGGCTGCTGCTGGTGGTAGTAGAAATATTAACAGCATAGCCTATTTATCTGGTCTATATATACTATGTACTAGGGAGCTCTGGTGGCCTAATTGGGTAGAATTATGCTGTCAACTCAAAGGCAGGTGGTTCAAATCCACCAGCTGCTCCATGGTAGAAAGATGGACAATTTCCTCCCATGCAATTTACAGGCTATGAAAACCAGATGGAGAGTCAGCTATGGGTCAGTTCTGACTCAGTGGCAACGATTAAGTGAGTGAGTGAGTGATACTATGTGTTCATTTACTAGATGAAAGCAAAGGCTGTCTTGCTCCCTTTCAAATACCCGGGGTCTATAACAAACCCTCCACTGGGTCTGTAAGGCTGTAAATCTTAATGAGAGGAGATGACTCCTCTTTCTCCTGAGGAACTCTTCTGCCTTCGGTTAGAGGCACAACATGCTACCATGCCACCAGAGCTCCCGACTGCCTGTCACAGGGCCCAGTGTATGGCAGGCACTCAGCAAATGTTTGTTAAATTAAATGAATGTCAGTCTCTGTGCTAAACATGACAAATGTTCAACCCAATTCTACAGGGGAGAAAACTAAGGTTTAGGGAGGTTAAAGGGCTTTGCCAAAAACTACACAACTACTAGTTAGTTCACCCTAGAGACTGACTTTGCACTTGTTCCCATTATGCACACTCTTTCCGCTCAGGTGCAGACAGTCGGAAAGGCTTTCCAGAGCAGGTGGGAAGGACGAAGACGTGGTAGAACGTGGCTCTGGTCCTTTAGCGAAGGGGTGGCCTCCCTCACCTGGGGCTCCTCCCTGCTCAGCAGGCTCCTGTCCTTGCTGGCTCGGGCTGCCTCCCACCTCCCCAGGTCTCGGTGGTAAAGGTCGAACACACAGGGGGAGCAGCCACCGCCACAGCACTGGGAGGGCAAGGGCTCCACAGGTCGAAGCTGGAGCCAAGCTTCCTCGTCATCCTCCTCCTCTTCTCTGTCACCCAGCATCAGTGGGGACTGGGGAGCCTGGGGAACAGGGCCTGGGAGGAATTACCAGTGATTTTCTCAGAGCAAGCCTTGCTCATAGGGCTGTGGGCAAAGGTTTTGCTTCCTTGCCAGCCTAGAACAGAAAAAACATACGAGTTATACTTTGGTCACCTCCATTGCTCCCATTCTCCCCAAGGCTTGCTGGTGCCAGGTTCTGTACAAGCACAGGGGGCAGGGATGAGTCAGCACAGAACAGGCTGTTCTGTTTAACAGGGGACGCACACAGACAAGACACTACAGTCAGAGCTGGGGCCCAGGCTTCCTCACCTCTGTCCAGGTCCTGAGCACTGGGTCAAGCATTTTATATAGATTATCTCATTGAGTTGAAAAAAGGTCTTTAAATGATGAAGCAAAATGTACATATAAAAAAGATGCATAAACATTTATGCAACATTTCATGAATAACTGTAAAAGAACATCAGTGTAACTACTACCTAGGCAGGTAAAAACAACCTGTGTTATTTTGTTTTTCTCACAGAACCAAACCATGTAGCTGGTCCTAATCACAATTTCCTCCTTCTCCAAAAGGTGACCACTATCTTGACTTTTTAATAATTTACTAGCTTTTTGTTAGTTTAGCCAGCTATGTTGCAACGTTAATCATTACCATTCAGCTTGGGAATCTCGTAGTACTTAACTGTGTCCATGGGAAACCTAGACCTAGACCAAGAGTCTGTTGTGAAAACATAGTGAGGGAACACTAAATGGTTTAAAATTAAGAAGAGAATGTATCAGGTTTGTATTCTCTCTCCATACCTATACAATCTGTATGTTGTTGTTGGTATGTGCCATCGAGTCACTTGTGACTCATAGCGACCCTGTGTACAAGAGCCCTAAAGGCTGTTCTATCCTGTGCCAACCTCGCCATCTCAAACACACTCATTCCCACCACTCCACTCAGAGAATCGATCCATCTCATCGAGGGTCTTCCTCTCCTGCGCCGCCCCTCTACTCTGCCAAACATGATGTCCCTCTCCAAGGACCAGTCCCTCCTGTATGCTGAGCAAATCATTCAAGCAGCTGGACTCTATGAAGAGAAATGTGGCATCAAGATCAGAGGAAGACTCATTAGTAGCCTGTATTACGCAGATGGCAAAACCTCGCTTACTGATAGTGAGGAGGACTGGAAGCACTTGTGGCAGAAGATCAATACAGCCTTCAATATGGACTGCATCTCAATTTCAAGAAAACAAAAATGCTTACCACTGGAGCAATAGCTAACACCATGATAGATGGAGAAGATTGAAACTATCAATAGTTCCATCTTACTTTGATCCACAATCAACACCCTTGGTACCAGCAGTCAGGAAATAAGGAGATGCATTGCACTGGGAAAATTTGCAGTCAGGGACCTCTCCAAATTACGAGGAGTAATGATTCAATTGGAGGATTAAGTTGTATCTGATCAGGTCATGGTCTTTCCAATCATTTGCTATGTATCTGAGAGCTGGACAACAAGTAAAGATGACATAATTGATGCCTTTGCACTGTGGTGTTGGAGAAGAGCACTGAACATCCCAAAGATGGCCAAAAGAACAAACAAATATGTCTTGGACAAAGTGTAGCCAGAGAGCTCTTTGGAGGCAAAGAGAATAAAGCTTAGCCTGATATCCTTTGGCAAGTTGCTAGGAGGGGCTATTCCTTGGAGAGGGACATAATGCTTAAAAAGGTGGAGGAAGGAGAGAAGACCCTCAGCTAAGTGGATTGACACAGTGACTGCTGCAATGGGCTCCAGTGTGTCAGGAAGTGTGAGGATGGCACAGGATAGGACAGATCCAGATCTATTGCTCACATGGTTTGTACTCAGTTCAACAGCACCTAACAACATTTAGCCTTGCCCCTTTACATGAAAAGAATCTTACTATTCTTTTATGTCTGGTTTCTTTCACTCAGCATTATTGGCAAGAGTCACTCACCAAAGTGTTGCAACTCATTTAATTTTCACAGCAATCAAGATGGTATAAATGGTTCCATTTTACAGACAAGAAAATTGGAGTCTGAGAAGATATAATCAGGTATCTATGGTCACAGAACTCCTAATATCCTAATATGGTGGTTACTGCTGTTGTTGTTAGGTGCAATCCATACTGAAGGTTACATTCCTTAATCTTCTGCAACAAGTGCCACAAGTCCTTCTCATTTTCAGCAAGTAAGGTGTGTCATCTGCATAACACAGGTTAGTGATGAGTCTTCCTCCAATCCTAGCGCCACATTCCTCTTCATAGAGTCTAGCTTCTTGAATAAGTTGCTCAGCATATAGATTGAATAGGTATAGAGAATACAACTTTGATGCACTCCATTCCTAATTTTCTATATTTGTTCCCATTCCAAAGAAAGGGTACTTGACAAAGTGCACAAATTTTCGAACAAGAACATTAACATCTCATGCAAGCAAGTTTCTGCTGAAAATTATCCAAAAATGACCGGAGGAGCACATCAACAGAGAACTGCCAGATGTGCAGGCTGGGTTTAGAAGAGGCAAGGGGAGCTCTGGTGGCCTAGTGGCAAGAAGCTGCACTGCAATCCCAGAGGAGCACGGTTCGGATCCACCAGATGCTATGCCGGGAAAGGAGGGACAATCTCCTCCTGTACCAGTCAGATCTGATTTGACGGTACACGCACATGCACAAATAATAAAATAAAAAAAAAAAAAAAAGAAGAGGCCGTGGTACTAGGGATATTATAGCTAGTGTTAGATGGACCTTGGCTGAAAGCAGAGAGTACCAGAGGAGTGTCTGCATTTCATTGACTATGCAAATGCATTTGACTGTGTGGATCACAACAAATTGTGGCTGACTCTGAGAAGAATGGGAATCCCAGAATTTGATTGTGCTTATGTGAAACCTATTCTTGGACTAAGAGGCAGTTGTCAGAACAGAGCAAGGAAGCACTGCATGGTTCAAAATTGGGAAGGGTGTATACTAGGGATATATTCTGTCTCCATACCTTTACAATCTATATGCAGAACAGATCATCCGGAAGCCTGGGCTGTATGAGGAGGAATGTGGCATCAGGATTGGAGGAAGACTCATCAACAACCTGCTTTATGCAGATGACACAACCCTGTTTACCAAAACTGAAGAGGACCTGAAGCACTTGCTGCAGAAGGTCAAGGACTGCATGGAGTCTTAAATATGAATTGAAACTCAACATCAAGAAAATAAAGATTCTCACCACTAGGCCAACTGGCAGTATCATGATGGATGGTGAAGAGATTGAGACTGTTAACAGCTTTAGTTTGCTTGGCACCACTACCAACACTCTTGGTACCAACAGCCAGGAAATCAAGAGATGAATTGCATTGGGAAAGTTGGTTGTCAGGGATCTCTCCAGAGTACGGAAGAGCAATGATGTCAGTCTGGAGACCAAGGTGCACCTGATCTAGGTCATAGTCTTCACAAGGTGAAGTCAGCCTGCTCCTTGGAGGCAAGGATTCTGAGGCTTCATCTGACATACCTTAGGCATGCTGCAGAGGGACCATCCTTGGAGAGGGACATCATGCTTGGAAGGGTAGAGGGACAGAGAAAAGAGAGGGAGACCATCAATGAGATGGATTGACTCAGTGACTAGGGTAATGAGGGTCAGTGTGTCAGAGACAATAAAGTTGGCACAGGATAGAGCAGGTTTCAGGGCACCTAGGGTCGCTATGAGTCGCAAGAGACTCAATAGTACATAACAACAACAACAGTGTTCCCTCACTTTGTTTATACAACAGCCTCCTGGTCTAGGTTTAGGTTTCACATGAGAACAATTAAATGCTCTGGAATTCTACTCTTCTCAATGTTAAGAGGTCACGGCACCAGGGATATCCTTGCTGATGTCAGATGGATTCTGGCTGAAAGTAAAGAATACCTAAAGAATGTCTATTGACTATGCAAAGACATTTGACTGTGTGGATCATAACAAGTTATGGCTAACATTGAGAAGAATAAGGATCTCTAGTGTGGTTGCAGCAGAATTTTAACTGCAGTTTATTAGGATCCAAAGCTTCAGACGACTGTAATAACTTTGATATACTGTTCCCCAACCACAGGAAAATGGAAGACAGAGGCTGTGATAATCCAGGTGAGAAGTGATAAGGACCTGCACCAGAGCAGATTCAGGAAGGAACAGATATTAAGGAAGTATCAATTGGATCCAACCTTGATCCAAGTCAGAGTACTTTCAATTGCCTCCTATGCATCTGAAAATTGGACAATCAGTAAAGATGAGAAAAGAAGCATCAATGCCTCTGAGCTGTGGCATTTCGCAATAGTACTGACTGAACCAGGAAATTAAAAGGCATATTGCCATGGGAAAGTCTGTTGTTAGAGACCTCTCCAAAGTACTGAAGAGCAGTGGTGTCTCTCTGGAGACTAAGGTGCGTCTGATACAGGCCATGGTCTTCACAATCACCTGTTATGCATCAGAGAGTTGGACAATGACCAAGAAGGATAGAAGGAGAATTGATGCCTTTGAGCTGTGGTACTGGAGAAGAGTATTGAGAATACCATGGATGCTAGGAAAACAAACAGATTCATCCTGCAAAGGGTTGAACTGGGTGGTTCCTTGGAGGCAAGGATTCTGAGGCTCTGTCTAACATACTTTGGACATGTTGTAAGGAGAGAGTGGTCCTTGGAAAGGGATACCATGCTTGGGAGGATGGAGGGACAGCGCAGGAGGGGAAGGCCCTTTATGAGGTGGATTGATTCAATGACTGGGGTCATCGGGATGGGCATGTCGGAGACAGTGTGATTGGCACAGGACAGAGCAGAGTTTAGGGCTGTTGTACATAGGGTCACTATGAGTCACAAGTGACTCGATGGCACATAACAACAACAACAACAACAACTGAATGAACTGCCAAAAAGAAGATCCATGCCTGTTTTGGAGAGAGTACAACCAGGATGCTCCTCAGAGGCAAGAATGGTGAACAGTGTTGTCTCACATACTTTGGGCAGAAGGACATAACTCTGGAAAGG